ATCATTATTTCATAGCATGCAATCATTTTATCAAACTGCCCAAAGAGAGGGGAAACTCCTAACACACATGGCCTGCCATGATGAAAATAATCATGCCATTTACCAATTTTATGATAGATGGTATATCCAGGTCAACATTAACCAGTTACATAAAATCATGTTTTCCATACAAAGTATTTAAGAATAGTGAAGTATAACCGTGGTCCACCACATGTTAATGCAAAAATAATATTTATATTATAAATAAAGGTCTTAATCACAAGAAAAATACCTTACAAATTGTATCAAAACCAACATTGGTTTCCACAAACTGGTTTTTAAGATCTCCGTTAAGATCACAGGTACACCAACCAACCATGCAGAATCCAATAATCAATAAATTGAAAATTTAAATGAAATTAATGATGAAACAACAGCTCAATTTTAAACAAATTAAAAATTAATTAATTATGAATATAAAAAAGCAATACCAAACGTAAAGCTTCGGTAAAGACCACTCCAAGAGAAAATGAAACAAAATCCAAAACAATGACTAAAAATACCTTTGTGGAGCAGTTGGCTACAGCAAAAGTTTCTGCAAGTTGTGCAGCATCCGTGTTTGATGTCACCCCTGAAAGATAATGTATTTCAGCATTTAGAAACCCCTCCTGAGGATGTGATGATAATGATAATAAAGGATACATGAAGGTCCAAAGATGCTTAAGCATACCTCCGATATGACAAGGCCGTCGAGTTTCAATTTTTGCATGTAGCAAGCGCAGCATTAACCTGCTCTGTAGTCCTAATTTGATCTTTTGTCCGACCAAGTAAATCATAACCACCTGTGAAACAACAACCATAGAATGAAACAAGGAGTTATAAACAAATGACAAACTATGTGCTATTATCAACAATTTCACTTGCCACAATTGACCAATAAGGAGCTAATAACACAATAAATTAACTAATGGCCATCATCCAAAACTTCACTTGCCACAACCAACCTTGGTTTTTGTATGAGGAAAGAACAGTGTCCGTTATCTCGAGAGTTTTCTGGGCGAACAGACCTTCTGAACCACCTGTAGATGGAAGAAATAAGGAAATGCAGACCTGGTTATTCATTTGTCAAACAAACAGCGGCATTTTATGGTTAATGTAAACACTTTTGTTGTGTGTAATACATAGCATTAGATATAGGAATATTCAAAGTAAACTAAACACAGTTAAGACGCCAATTACATATTATTTACCAAAAGAAAAGCTGAGGATCCATCGAGCAAATTAAATTCAATTACCAAGAAATCCAAGCAAAACACTGTTGGGATTGTGAATTTTGAGAGCATTGTGGAGACCCCAGAAACATTGTGTCCTCCAGGAGATTGTCTCCCACAAAAGACAACTCCCACCCTACAACAACACAATCAATATTAAGAAATTCATGACAAAACAGATTCACAACAATGGCTAGGAAACATAAACATGATAAGCAGACACAGACCTAATAGGAGGGAACTCGGTTATGATCTGAGCATCAGGGACTTTGGCAGTGGCCCTGAGAAAGTGAGCCAAAGGGTGTCCGTAGGTGTGAGGAAAAGCCCTGGCGATGGTGAGGGCGTCAGTGGGGTCAGCAGTGGTGGTAGCATCACCAAATTCAACCCTCACAGTGGTTCCCTGCACAAAAAGCCAAAAGGGTCATCGTCCAAATGAAAAATAAAAATTAAAACTTTACAAACCCCACTGCTCCCACAACCCCTGAAACCGACAAGATCTGAAACCAGCCAGCACCTGCAGGCAAGGGGGAAGCTCCGGCTGGTACAAAGACCGAATCCTTTGAAGATCTGAAAGCTCCCTGGGAATACCATAATCAGAATCCATGGATTCAACCCCTTTGATGCCTCAACAGAGAGAACAAAAAAAAAAACGTATGAAACAAACACACTACGACGTTTGTTGTGTTCTAAGCTACTGTGTGAGTGTAACTATGTTGTTTGGTGCAGTTGTGAGTGGTGAATGTTGGGTGATGGGTAGGGTACCCTTTTAAGTGCACCTACCAACTCGTTTTTTTTCTCTGATTCTTCAAAACAAATGACTCCTCTATCCAACAAGAACTGACCAACCAACCCACCGAATTCGGGTCTTTTTACCATATAGCTATTCTAATATCTCCTTATTCTCATTTTTTTTTCTTTTTTTCTCTTCTTCTTTTTCAATAAATTACTCTAAACAAGTTTGGTGAAGATAAACAAAACAAACATAACCTCTTTCTGGTATGTTTATCTTCACCCTACCTTTCTTTTGTTTAAAAAACACTACTTTTTGCCTTAACTTTTTCATTCTTCAACAAAACCTTTTATTATTTAAAGATATAATTGCACTGTGCTCTCTTAGAAAATTATTGTGAAAGTGAATTAGGCAACTTCCTTTTTCAAGAGTAATAGAAGTAAAATTCTATTTTCACCTCATAATTTGTTTGTCTTATAATCTACCTTATCTTTTTTAATGTTCATATTTTTTTCTTACAAGCATATAAAATAATTATTTTGAAACAATTAGCAAATGATTTGTTCAATTGAAATTCATCTTGACTAGAGATAAGATTATTGTATATATTAAGTGAATATAAATTTCATCTATAAATCTATTTATGGAATTCAATTAGGTATAAAAATTTATTCTTAAAGTTATATATATATATGATTAGATTAATCATATGATAAACACAGTATATAATTCAAGAAAAAGTTTGAAAAGTAAATTATAGTTCAACTTATTTCAGAAAAGTTAAAAGAAATTCTTGCACTGGGATAAACAGATAAAATATCAATGAATATTTAAAAACAAATACGTGATTAATCTATATTAACATTCTTAATTATTTTTAATTGAATATTTATATTTTATTAAACTAAAATAACATCATTATTTGTATATGTAAATCAAAAGTGTATTTACAAAATTGTTATATTATTTTCATATTAAAAATCCAGAGAAATAAACACTAACCCTAATTTAGGAAACTCATTATAATCTATTTACTTTTCATACCATTTGGCCATTCATGCAAAGCCACTCTTTAAATTTGAGGTTTTTTTTTCTTACCTTTATTTCCCACTGGGTTGTGCTTTTTGTCATTTTCCATGTACAAGAAAAAGTAGGGAGAGAAACCAAATTTACTTTATAGTTTTGAAAAGTAAAAAGTATGATGAAAAAGCGTAGGCATTTAGATCTGAAAAGGTTGTATTGCAATTTATGTTAGATTCAGATTCCTTATCTTGAGAACGAATAATGGGTAAATTTTGGTATTTACTTACATTTTACATCAAATTTCTCTGCAAAGTTAAAGGTGGTGGCTATTAACATTTAGTGTGTGATTATTCTTGAAATAGAATAGCAAATTTGTACATTTGCTATAAGTATAGTATTATTCTATTATTCTAGTTTACAATTGAAGTGGCAGTAAAATTTTATTTTCTGTTTATTCAGGTGAATTCTCAGCTCATCAGCAATGTCTGCACTGATGCACTCTCTGCAGAGAAGGTAATGAGTCTAATGTATCTTGCATGATTTTCTTTGATATCATTATGTGTGCGCGTGTGTATAAATTTGTAAAAGGTAGGCATTGTTACTTTCATTAGTTTTCTTTTCATGTACCTCTCTGAATGACTTTTCTTTTCCAGTATTATTATTTTATCCGTCTTATGGGGCGCAAGGCCTCACACGTTGCATTGGAATGCACTCTCCAGTCCCATCCAAACATGGTGCGTATTGCTGTCTCACATGATTTATGCGTATTGTGTTATAGTTCCATGCTGACAGTTATCTTTCATACGTTTTATGCAGGTAATTCTTGGTGAGGAGGTTGCTGCATCAAAGCTGACCCTTTTTGAAATAACAAAACAGATTACTGATGCAGTTCAGACCAGGGCGGAGCAAGGTTTGAACAATCTGAATTGCCTCTTTATATATGTGTATGTAATGAGGTCTAATGTCACATTCCTCTGTTTTTCTCAGACAAATACCATGGAGTAATCCTCCTACCAGAAGGGCTGATAGAGAGCATTCCTGAAGTGTATGCACTCTTGAAGGTAAAAACTCCTCTTTCTAGATGGTTAAGCTCCGCCTGAGCACAAAGCAGAATGATATCTGTCAGTCAAGTATAAATTGTAGATTGTTGAAGTATCATAAAATGACAGTTTCTCTCATTGCTTTTATATATTAGTTTTGCAATTTTCATCTCTTGTGGAAGAGATTAACCTTAATCTAATCTGTTCCTACCAATACCTTTTTTGTACCTCAGGAAATTCATGGCTTACTCAGACAAGGTGTTGCTGTTGACAAGATATCTTCTCAGCTTTCACCATGGGCATCTGCTCTATTTGAATTTTTGCCTCCTTTTATTAGGCGACAGGTAAACTCATTTACCATGCTGAACACTGGTGGGCATTGTGTCAATTTAGTTCTAGAGTGTATGATAGAAAATCTGACAATGATCTTCAATGCTGCAGTTGCTCCTTTACCCTGAATCCGATGACTCGGCACAGTTATCACAGGTAATAATCACAACAAGATACTTTGCTCTTTGTATGAATTGATAGGGAATTTCAGATTCCTTCATTCATGTCTCTTGTTCTTTGTAATGATTTACAGATTGAAACTGAGAAATTACTAGCATATCTTGTGGAAGCAGAGATAAACAAGCGCCTGGTATGGTCACTCAATCTCTGTCCCATTCTCTCCCCAATACCCTTTTACTTGACTCTCCATCATCTTTGCACTTCTAATGATCATTATCATGAGTTTATTTGTTTGTGATCTCTGTGATGCATAGTTTGATTTAGAAGGCAACCCACTCTGTTGAGCACGTGCTTTGTAACAGTTTACCATGAAACTTTTTTATTTCTTTTCTATTCCTGTTGATATTTATGAAATAAGAACATTTTCTGTTACATCAAATGGTTGGTCATTTTTGTAATATATTAGTTTTGTTTGAAAATCATCATGAAGGGTCAACTGTCAGTTATGAATGATATAATCTTGAGCCATACTTTATATGATTACTATCTTGATTAATTTCATTTTGTTGATGGTAAATTTTCCACTGCTGCTTTGATATTTAAAATATTTTCCTGTTCCTTTTGACAGAAAGAAGGTACATACAAGGGAAAGAAGTTCAATGCCATTTGCCACTTTTTTGGTTATCAAGCTCGTGGATCTCTTCCATCAAAATTTGACTGTGATTACGCATATGTATGTTGATTCAGTAATCTCCCTTTGTTTATTAGCTCTTATAGTCAATTTCATTTGAAAGTGTTTCCAATTCCCACTTTTGTTAATAACCTTTGATATCATTGCAGGTCCTTGGACACATCTGCTACCATATACTTGCCGCAGGTCTTAATGGGTACATGGCAACTGTAACTAACCTGAAGAATCCTGTAAACAAGTGGCGATGTGGGGCTGCTCCAATAGCAGTATGTCATTCTTACCATTATTTTTCTTGTATTATTTAATTTATGGTTGTTTTTGATAGCTTTGTGTAATATATCAATGCTTTCCATGGTAGAGACTCATCTATTTTGCCTCTGGTGAACTTTAGGCTATGATGACTGTGAAACGATGGTCTCCAAATCCAGGAGCCACATCAATTGGAAAACCTGCTATTCATCCAGCTACCGTGGACTTGAGAGGCAAAGCTTATGAGTAAGTTTTCTTGTCATGTGTGATGCTTGTGTTCATATATACCTTCATATGGAATATAAGACTTTTGCTGAGATTTTATATGCAAATCAGTAAATTCACATAACTTGATTAAACATGTACTTGATAATAGCAACACTTGTTTTCTTTCACCTCAGCTTGCTTGGTCTCATTTCTTGGTAGTGTTTCTATTAAGGGCATTTCTCTGATGCATGTTTTAATTGGTTGCAGGCTGTTGAGAAAAAATGCAACAAGCTTTCTCATGGATGATATTTACAGAAATCCAGGTCCACTTCAGTTTGATGGTCCTGGTGCAGATGCCAAAGTCATAACTCTCTCTGTTGAAGACCAGGACTACATGGGCCGCATTAAGAAGCTTCAGGAGTACCTTGAACAGGTCTTGCCTATTAAAAATCTTCCATTTTAACAGAACTAGAGGACAAGACAAAATTTTCATGTTAAGTAGTGAGTTGAAAACTCATTGTGCAAAACCTCAAATCCTATGACTGCTAACTGATGCTCATTGCTACCTTTTTATGGAGTTAGGACCTTAGTTCTTGAGTACCAAGTTAACTCTTGATCTGCATGTTTTGTTGGTATGAGGTGTAACATTGTTAGAGTTTACTTTCTATGCTACATCACTTTAAAAACTATATCAACCCATCAGAAATCTTCATATGACAGTATGATAGTTATCATTATAGGTAACACTATTTTCTCATTCTGATCGAATTTCTACTTAAAATTTCAGGTCCGAACCATTGTAAAACCAGGGTGCCCTCAGGAGGTTTTGAAGGCGGCACTCAGCGTGATGGCGTCGGTGACCGAAGTTCTGGCAGCCATGTCAACCACTTCTACGAACAGTCTGGCAGCCCTTTGAGAGGAGCAGATGGAAGTTGTATTCTTTTCCAATATTTTCAGGCCTAAGGTTTTAGTTTCTTCATTTTGTAGCCATGGAAGTAGTTGTTGAATGGAAATAAGAGTTAGATCCGACATGGTGCATGTCAAGGTGAGATTATACTGTAGTCAAAGTTTTGGCTCTGTGTTCCCAACTGGGTCATATTTTTTTGTTTTTTTGAAGACACGAGAGTTCATTCCATGTGAGACAATGTTTGATAATTTAGCTTGGTGCTTGAGATTGTTACTGTTATCTTTGTTCTTCCTAGGACATTTCTTTTTTCATATTCCGATCTTATGTTTTTGTTCCAAACGTTGGTATCCCGGAGTGAAATTCCAGCCCTTTAAATTCTAGCATTCTGAATTAGCACGTGACTTTTAGAACTTTGCATCTGCGACCAAACACGTGGAAAATGCTCTGCTTTTCAATAGGAAATTGATACCATTAATGTTGACCAATTTCCTAATAATTATGCAGCATTCACCTTTCTATGAATACAATAATAAGAAAATAATTCTTTTCACAAGTTTATTTTTTAAATTAATTTTTATTTGGTATATTATGAGAGGGCTATATTAGCTTTAGCTAATACATAAATTAACTTTATTTGTTTCCCTTTTAATAAGAATTTACAGAAAAGTTTGTCTAGATAAATCTTAAGTCGTTATTGATTAAAGAAATTAATGAAAGATATTTTTCTCTTCGATCCAATATTAAATTAATGTACATACTTAATTTTAGTTTTAGTTCATGTATTTTACCATATTTACAGCTTTGGTTTGTAGTAAAGGAGAATTTCATTACNGAACTTTGCATCTGCGACCAAACACGTGGAAAATGCTCTGCTTTTCAATAGGAAATTGATACCATTAATGTTGACCAATTTCCTAATAATTATGCAGCATTCACCTTTCTATGAATACAATAATAAGAAAATGATTCTTTTCACAAGTTTATTTTTTAAATTAATTTTTATTTGGTATATTATGAGAGGGCTATATTAGCTTTAGCTAATACATAAATTAACTTTATTTGTTTCCCTTTTAGTAAGAATTTACAGAAAAGTTTGTCTAGATAAATCTTAAATCGTTATTGATTAAAGAAATTAATGAAAGATATTTTTCTCTTCGATCCAATATTAAATTAATGTACATACTTAATTTTAGTTTTAGTTCATGTATTTTACCATATTTACAGCTTTGGTTTGTAGTAAAGGAGAATTTCATTAATTCGTGTTTATATATATACTGTTTTAAATTATATTTTAAATTTAAAAAATAGAAAATAAAAATAAAGTATCTAAATAGTGAAAGTGATTGCACCGTATCTTAATAACATCAAATATTACAAGTTATCTACATATTTTTACAGTACAATAATTTGCTGCATATTTATAATTATTTTTTTCATAAATATCATGCAATTTCTTCTAATCTTGCTCACTTATGTCTAAAATAAAAGAATAACCACTTAAAATTCAGTAAAATTATAAATAATAAAAAAGTTTTAGGAATAAAAAGTATATTTGCATTAAATAAACATATTCAAATGAAAAAAAAAGAAGATGCAGCAACAGAGTAACAATGGGTGGTGCTTCACTTCTCCAAGATTCCCTGCCATAAAAACGCAGCCGCGATAGTGTCTCCGATCACAAGTTTGCATTCTGTTCTCTATGGTTTCTTCGATTTCATTAACCTAAAAAACATACAATGTACTTGAAAGACGGTTATTCCCTCTTACTAAAACATCGCAAACCGTCAATCCCCTTCGTGCTCCCCACGCGCCACCTCGAACCGCCACCCTCCTCCCCCATACCCGAGCCCCACGTCGCCCAAGCGCTTCGCCGCGAGTCTGACGTCACGCGTGCTCTCCAATACTTCCAACACGTGGCCACTTCCACGGTCTTCAAGCACACGCCTTTAACCTACCACATCATGATCGAGAAACTCGGAAGCAGCAACGTCGAAATCGACAGCATTCACTATCTCCTTCAGCAGATGAAAATCGAAGGCGTCCCCTGTTCTGAGGGCTTGTTCATATGCGTTTTGAACTCTTACAAGAGAGCTGGGTTGGGCGAGCGGGCTCTGAAGTTGTTTTACAGGATCAAGGAGTTTGGGTGTAAGCCCACTGTGAAAATTTACAACCACTTGCTCGATGCGCTTGTTGGTGAAGCTGAAAACAGGTTTCACGTCATTGGGGCTGTTTATGAGAACATGAAGGGTGAAGGGTTGGAGCCTAATGTGTTTACTTACAATATTCTTTTGAAGGCACTGTGTAAAAATGGGAAGGTGGATGGTGCCTGCAAGCTGCTTGTGGAAATGTCCAAGAGAGGGTGTGTCCCGGATAAGGTCAGTTACACGACTGTTGTGGCGGGGATGTGTAGGGATGATCGGGTGGATGAGGCGTGGGAGGCGGCGAAGAGATATGGGGTGGAGAATATGGTGTCTGTTTGCAATGCTTTGGTTTGTGGATTGTGCAAGGAGGGGAGAATTGGGGAGGTGTTTGGTTTGGTGAATGAGATGGTGGGGAAAGGGATTGATCCTGATGTTTTGACTTACTCTAGTGTCATTAGTTGCCTTTCGGATATTGGGGAGGTTGAGTTGTCGCTCGCTGTTTTCGGGCAGATGGTAAGGAGAGGTTGCAGGCCAAATGCTCACACTTTTAGTTCTTTGGTGAAAGGGCATTTCTTTAGAGGGAGAGTGGGGGAGGCGGTTGGGTTGTGGAGGTTTATGGTTTTGGAGGGGGTTCGGCCGAATGTTGTTGCATACAACACGCTGTTGTATGGTCTGTGCTGTAATGGGAATGTGGATAAGGCTGTGATGGTTTGTAATCAGATGGAGAAGGATAGGTTTTGCAGGCCTAACGTGACCACGTATAGTACAATTGTTCATGGGTTTGCGCAGGCTGGCGATTTGCAGGGCGCTTCTGAAACGTGGAACAGGATGATAGATCGTGGGGTTCGGCCTAATGTGGTGGTGTACACCTCCATGGTGGATGTTCTTTGTAAGAATTCTATGTTTGACCAGGCTTATCGGCTTATTGATAATATGGTTTCTGATGGTTGTCCTCCTACTGTTGTTACATTCAACACGTTTATCAAGGGCTTGTGTCGTGGAGGGAGAGTGCAATGGGCTTTGCGTGTGGTTGATGANGTTGTGGCGGGGATGTGTAGGGATGGTCGGGTGGATGAGGCGTGGGAGGCGGCGAAGAGATATGGGGTGGAGAATATGGTGTCTGTTTGCAATGCTTTGGTTTGTGGATTGTGCAAGGAGGGGAGAATTGGGGAGGTGTTTGGTTTGGTGAATGAGATGGTGGGGAAAGGGATTGATCCTGATGTTTTGACTTACTCTAGTGTCATTAGTTGCCTTTCGGATATTGGGGAGGTTGAGTTGTCGCTCGCTGTTTTCGGGCAGATGGTAAGGAGAGGTTGCAGGCCAAATGCTCACACTTTTAGTTCTTTGGTGAAAGGGCATTTCTTTAGAGGGAGAGTGGGGGAGGCGGTTGGGTTGTGGAGGTTTATGGTTTTGGAGGGGGTTCGGCCGAATGTTGTTGCATACAACACGCTGTTGTATGGTCTGTGCTGTAATGGGAATGTGGATAAGGCTGTGATGGTTTGTAATCAGATGGAGAAGGATAGGTTTTGCAGGCCTAACGTGACCACGTATAGTACAATTGTTCATGGGTTTGCGCAGGCTGGCGATTTGCAGGGCGCTTCTGAAACGTGGAACAGGATGATAGATCGTGGGGTTCGGCCTAATGTGGTGGTGTACACCTCCATGGTGGATGTTCTTTGTAAGAATTCTATGTTTGACCAGGCTTATCGGCTTATTGATAATATGGTTTCTGATGGTTGTCCTCCTACTGTTGTTACATTCAACACGTTTATCAAGGGCTTGTGTCGTGGAGGGAGAGTGCAATGGGCTTTGCGTGTGGTTGATGAGATGCAGAGTTATGGATGTTTTCCAGATATAAGATCCTATAACGAATTGTTGGATGGGCTGTTTTGCGCAAAGGGTTTTAGAGAAGCTTGCGAGCTTATTAGAGATTTGGAAGAGAGGAAGGTGGAGCTAAATTCTGTCTCTTACAACACTATTATGTGTGGATTTTCTAGTCATGGAATGCAGGAATTGGTTTTGCAGGTTTTGGGGAGAATGTTGGTAAATGGTGTGGAGCCAGATGCAGTTACGGTTAATATAGTTATTTATGCATACTCCAAACTGGGTAAGGTTAAAACTGCCATCCAGGTTTTGGATAAAATAACAGCGGAAAAGGAATTATGTTCCGACATAATAGCACAAACTAGCGTCTTGTGGGGCATATGCAATTGGTTAAGCATTGAAGAGGCAGTTGTTTATCTAAATAAAATGTTAAATAGTGGAATATTTCCCAATATTGTCACTTGGAATGTGCTAGTACGAGGCTTCTTTAACAAATTGGGTCATATGAGACCAATCCGCATCTTGGATGATATCTTGGGCAATGGATAATATAGTATATGATTTTTCAGCTTCTTCTAAGGTAAAATATTGGCCTTCAAGATATTTCCAACCATATGCAACAGATGACCATGTCACTTGGTGTGATTGCAAGTGGATGGAATGAATGTGATTGGAAAGATCACTTGGTGAGTGCGATATCGTATTTTTGGATCCCGAAAACTGGTTATGACTTTTGAGGGATAGAGACAACAAAAGACATAAAGGAATGAAAAAGGAACGAATGTTTACGAGTGCATATTTATTATTTAAATTCGATTTTTTTATAGAATTTTGGTTTAAATGATTGATTTGAATAAAATTTGTATAAGTAAATTCATTGAGTTTGGAAATCAGAAGAGGTAAATTAGAATTTTAGACAAGATTAAGTGTGAAAAATCTTTTAGATATTTTAAAAGATAATTAAATATGAAAATATCTTCTAAGTATTTTTATAATTATCTAAATCTGTTAATTGTTTAAAAGATATTGCAGTGTAAGATAAAAGATTTTATTAATAGAAAAATTAAAATATTGTTCAATCAAGTCTTATACAAAGAGAACAAGGAAAACAAAAAGGGAACTAAACACTCAGCACTCTGTACTTAGCAAATTTATTATTCCTTCCATCTTTATTTTCATCATGTATTTCACTCCATCTACAGAGAATTAAGCTTCTAGGGTTGTTCTACGGTAATTTTTTCTGAGGTTAAGTTGAATTAATGTTTTTGTTTCTTTTGATTATTGATTTAAGTTATCTTTCTTATATGTTTTTCATCTCTCAATCAAGTCAAAAGTAATGATTTTTAAGTTTAATGGTTTCTAGGTTTGATTAAGAATATACTTTGATTTAAATTTAGAAACTTTCTTATGATTACTGAGAATGTATTTCTATTAAATTTTTTATGAATAATCTCATTTTTTATTCAGAATTTACTTTGGTTAATTGTAAGATCGCCTTCAAATTAATTAAGAATATATTTTAATTAATTTGAAACTTAAACAATGATCAAATAAACAATGATTTGTGGATAATTGATGATAAATCTATATTGAGAAAACATTTAAATTAGACTATTTTATTATATTGTTTTAAAGTCTCTTATTTATTCTTCCATTAAACAACATTCTTCATTATGATAGTTAGTATTTTTAATATTTTGAATTTGACTTTGATTTTTATTTGTTTTTTTTCTAACGCATACACATTTAATTTAGTTTGAGTTTTTTTTGTTGTAGTTTAGTTATTTTTATTGTTAGCAAAGTCTTTGTTTTTGTTTTAATGAATAATTTCTCTTGAAAAATATTTAAGATTAGTTTGAAAGTACTCTGGTTAAAAAAAACTTAGTAATTAATTTGTCTATTGTGACACCTTTCTTGGAAGTGGATCCAAACAATCTTACTTATTTCTTATTTAAAATATTTTTCTAAAACAAGAACAAGAGAGAGAAAAAATTTAACAGAAAAAGATTGCAATTTGGGCGTTCTATCGAGGAAACATCTTCCACATATGAAGCTACTACATACCATCTCTATTTTCTCGATAAATACACCCTTTAATCATTCACCTGATTCTGACCCAAACAAAATGACACAAAAAACTAATAGAAAATTAACCACTTCTCTTACTTTTGTAACCCAAGTCTTTTAAGACACACTTTTAGGATGTCTTCTATACCACTCTCCTACACCTCCCTTTTTTAAGGCTTGCATCTACATACGTTTATTCAGTTATGAAAGACAATAAAATGTACTATAGGTGTAGAAATGGGTGACGATACAAACCAAATCATGCATAAAGATTGCTTTAAAAAAATAATGTATAAAGACCAACTTAAGAATACAGATAAAACCTAAAATATATATTAAATAAAAAGAAAATTAAATAATTAGGATGGTTTAGCTTATTTAACAACAAATTTAGACGAAGTTAATTCAAGAATTTTGATACCTTATTCCACCTACGCTGTGTTCTTATTATAGAAATCCC